TGGTCATCGATGACTGGGAGGCTTTTTTGGCTTGGAACCGAGATGGCATGGACAGGCTCAACCGAATGACGTGCTGCGATGTGAAGTGGTAGACAGGAATGGCAAGAGGGCACCAAAAGAGCACGGGTTAAACACCGAAACAGCACCGATTTGTGATGCACCTCGAGTTGTGTGTGTGTGTTTTTGCGGGGGGTCGGTTTGGCAGGCTGTGCGATGTTTGCAGTCCCAGAGTTCCGTTAGTGTTTTCTCAACTTCCGAGGCCGAACACGGAACCAGTTTTGTGTATGATTTGGGCTCAAAATCTGACCGCAAGCTGTACACAGTCTGAGACGTGAAGTTTCCTGTTTCCTCAAGACTCCAACTTCAGACCACTCCGAGACCACTCCTACCCCCAGAGCTCAAGCAACTTTGGCCTCACATCCTCAACAGCGGCACCGATTTCCGTTCTTGGCCTTCGAAGGTTTTCTTGGACGCCCAGGCCTCAATACAAGCATGGAAGGGAAGTTCGACTTGGAATGGTTTTCGTGGGAGTTAGACAGCGCTAGTGTTTGCTTTCCTTTGCGATTCGGTTTGTTTTTTGCGCCAAGGTGCCGTCCCGGCGATGGGCGTTGGCGCCAGCCGTGAGGCGAGAAGATTGATTCTTTCAAAGTGTAAGATAGGCAGGGATTTTTTTGATTCTTTCTATATAATTGTTTTTGAGCTATATAAACTGCCTGGAAGCTGTCGGCGAAATCAAATTGGCAAGCATTTGAGCTAGGGAGAGATCGGACCGGTCACTCCAAGATCACCAAACGACGCTGTGACAGCCAAGCCCTTATTTCATGCGGTTCATGCTTGAAAGTGCGAAAAATGTCAAGGAAATGAACAAGACCTAAAGAATTACGGAAAGAAGAAGGAAACAAAGCGAAGAAGAAGAAGAAGGAGAAGAAGAAGAAGAATAAGAAGAAGAATACATAGAAATAGAAATAGAACTAGACATAGAAATAGACATAGACATAGAAGAGTGCTTCTCAAGGCCATGGGCTGCTGTTCGTCCACAACGTCTGTCGCAAGACTCAGCTGAGATAGTGTCCCGTTGGCTTTGAAAAATGTTCCTAGTAGCTTTTTGTTTCTAATAGCTTCTTGTTACTACTAGTAAGGCACTTGTTCCTACTAGCGATGCACTTGTTCCTAGTAGCTTGTTGGACTTAATCTGTTTTCAGTGCAAATATATTCCGAGGTGCAAAAGACACATTCTTTGGGAGGCCAGAGTGCAGTGTGAACAGGACACGGAGACAGACCGTTCAGCCAGTTTTACATAGTTTTACTGATTTCTCGCAGGTAAAGATGTTTTGAAGTGTGGGGTACGCATTAGCTTAGTTTTTCAGTTCTTCCCCAAGGTCTTACAGAAAGTTGCTCCTTCGACTTCTCTAGGCCTGCGGAGAAGGCAGACTCCTTAGACATATGCTGTATGCTGGAGTTCTCTTTCGACAGCAACCATTTGCTTTCGACTTTTGATCCTCGGAATCTGGTTCAGTGCCGTTGTTTTCGGTCACTGCATGGTCGTCAGCTTAGCATCATACAATAGTGGGTCTCTGGCGCTTTCTGACGTCCATTTTTTATTGCAGGGCGTCCGTTTGCCTCCAGCAGCCGTACCCCAAAAAGGAGGCCCGATTTTTCCAGCAAAGCTTGCCAGTTTTACTCTGTAGGCAAAAAGGAAGCACACTCGTAGACTGTGCATGGAGTGCCTATTGACAGTCTAGATTCCAGTTGGCTGGCTAGGCCTTCTTCTAAACCAGACGGAGACCACAGACACGAGCTGCCAGCCTTTAAATTATGAGGCCCTTGATGGGCGACACTGTGGGGTGTTGCAGGTTGAGTTTGTGTGTTGAAGTCCTGGGCAATGGCCTCCAACCTACTAGCTTCTTGCTACTAGTAGCTTCTTGCTCCTCCCTTTGTTACTAGTAGCTTCTTGTTCCTAGTAGTAATGCCAGGAGCCAATAGCAGGTAAACTGTGGCCGTTTTGAGGTCTTAAATACCTGGTCGGTTTGGGGCTGCCAGGTGCCCAAAAAGAGACATAGCTCCTCGACATCTTCCAAAGGACCCAGACCTGGTGGCGCCATCCCAAGCTTCTCAGCAAGGCCTTGAGAGCATTTGCCAGACAACCTGGGCAAAAAGCTGTCACATACAATACATACATGTTGTTGAGCGTACCGGCAGATTATTGTAGACGCATGCAACACTGACAAGAAAATAGATTAGGACGGGTAGGGAGTAGAGACCAATGGAAGACCATCATTTTGTTGGATCTACATTTGGTATTATGCTGATTAATAAGCTGGGCAACTGGGAGCCTCGCCCGCTGTACTGCTCAAAGATTGTCCTGCTGTGGTTTCTCTCAGGCAATCATAGACAAACAGCTTCTGAGGGCAGCCACATCCTCAGCACAGAGCCTCCTTTACATCGTGATTATGATCTAAGCAAAAAGCAATCAACTCTCTTTTCATTATTGTACAACTGTGGTCTGGAGGTGGCAGCTTCTTGCTGCAAGGTGTTCAGCCACAACCTCAGAAAGATACACAGCCACATGATGACTTTGACAGCCTGAATGCACGTGTTCGTTCAAGAACGCGTGATGACCGGCTCTGGTTTTCTACCTGACTGGCTTTGTCCGCCGAGTTTGGATCGTTCACAGTTTATGCGGCTACCTGCCGAAGCCCCGCTGCCGCGACCTAAAGCCTTTGTTTGCTTCTTGACTTTAAGCGTGGGCTTTGCCGAAGATTCTTGGCCGCTATGTCCGAAACAAACGAAAGCGCTCTAATCATTTTAAGTGTACCGTAACATTTTGAGGCGCATCCTGCTTGGGCTGGTTGAGATCAGAGACAGGTGCTACCTGAAAGCTGTTTGCGGGCTGGGGGAAGGAGTCTGGCATGGCTTGTGTAGTTCTCCTCATTTGCCGCTTGTTTGCACCGCTGCAAAAAATGCACATGTTTGACAAAACAAGACACGCCAGCAGCAAGCGACGTTGTAGGTGGTTGGAGCCCAACGTCGAAATCGCCTGTGAGATCCGCTTATTTCAGCTGCTTGTCATGACGAGAGTCTTTCGATCATCTTGACATAGTCAAAGTTGGAGAGTGACCCGTGACTACTGACACTGATTCATTGATTGCATAGATTCTGGGCTTTTCTGATCTCCTCTTTTGTTTAAAGGTTCATAAAGGATCATAGGAAGGTTCTTTGCATAGCATTAGAGGTTCTATTCCTTGTGAAGTTGTTTGAGTTGTATTGGAAGCAGGCCTCGAACGACCTTGACTCTGGCACTGTTCCCGGAGTCTGAAGCTCAGTGTGTGACCCGTCGCAAGGCCTAGCAGAGCATCTCTTTGCTGCCTTTGTTTGCCGACATGTCAGGTCTTCGTATGCAGAGTCGAAGGTGTCAGCTACGATCAAGGGAGAAGTCAAAGGTGCGGCTGTTGTGGCAAGAAGACCAGAACAAGCACCATTTCTGAATGTTGACTACACCAAGTAGTTGGCTACAGTGCCCTTTGATGTGTAAGTACAGCAGTGCCCTTTGGTACAAGAGATGCAGCTGCTTTGCGCTATTCAGGACCCCATAGCACTTGGCATATAGGGGAGGAGCTGGCATTCGAGGGTGATGCTGTGCGTAGACTGCTCAGTCTCCAAACCAACAAGCGGCATAAGGATGTATGGGGTTCGATGTGAGGTCTTGGAGAAGACAATACACACCTGACATGTGTTTAAAACGCTTCTTTCACAGCAATAACAATAAGAACAACAGACGAATTTTTCTACACGGACTCGACTACTTCCAGCCTTTGGGCCTGACCATCTCAGCTCAAGGGGCCTGGCTCAGGTCAAGAGCGGCGGAGTGAAGGAGGCCTCCAAGCACAGGTGTGACATGACATGTGAGACGTTCTCCTTTTGGAAGCTGGAAGGATCTGACGCAACACGTTGCGATAGTTCAGAGTTTTGGAAACAACATTCACAGATCAACTTTTGGATGCATGTCCTCTATGCCGGAAGCGATTTGTCTTGCAGGTGCTGCTAATCGAAAGGCCATCAGGCGATAAGCTGGCCGTCGGGATGCCAAGACATCTGGGAACCAAATGAATAGTGCAAGTGCTTCTGCAAGGAAGCTCCCCCCCGGCCCTCAGGCAGGGGAGCTTCCTTGAAGGAAGCGTGAGCTTTCCTGCGTCCCAGCTACCAGGAAGCTACTTAAGCAAGCTACTAGGAAGCTACCTACTAGCAGCCTATCCCCCCGCTTAAGATCTGTAGTACTGTAGACTAGAGTTTTCCAAGCTCATGGAGAGTGCCGAATAAGAACTGAGTTTGGAAAGCAAAATGGGTACTGAATTTTATAATGATCATTCCCCCCAGCATTTTTCCGCCAACATTTTCAGTCGTTGCCAAGATATCACTGGATACTAAGGCGACATCTCACTTCAAGGCTCAGACCTGAGTTGAGTGGCTTTCGACTTTGTTGTTTGTTCCCGTGCCTTGTTTAGTTTCGATCTTGGAGTTTGCAAATAGGATCAGCTGACAGGTTCCAACTTCCAGAGAGCGCCATGAGCCTCTTTGGTCCAGAGGCACCTTTACCCAGAGGTGTGGAAGAGTCAAGCGAACGGAGGTTGAGCAACCTCATGCAAACTCCAGGAACATAAGGAACATAAGGAACACAAAACCCAAATTACGCTCAAGGAGATGACTAGTTCAAGGCTTCCAGGGCCCTTTGTGGTGAGTAGACATCGCACTTCTTTGGGAGCTTCACAGCTACAACTGTGAGGCGTGTGGGGCACGTTTCGGTTGCAGCTGGCTGGGCAGTTGGCTGAGATGCATTCTGCTTGTGCAAATGTAAGCGACATTTCCTTTGTATGCAGTTGTCCAGCACAGATTGCTGTCTCAGCAGTCTCAGCATGCCATAAAATTTCCGTGCTCCATTAAAATGCAGAGTCTTCTTCGTTTTGGCTCAAGCTGCCCAAGCAGCAAAACAGCGTCCTTGTCCCATGGCAAACGGCAGAGGCCGGCAGAAGACCATCATCTAGCTCGAAGTCTAAGTCTGTAGAGCGCATGGCACTGAGTTCGCGTGAGTCAGATGCACGGAGTTCACGCGAAGGTTCCGGTTTCAGACACGACTCCACCAGGTCATCCTGAGTCCTCTCGGAAGCGGTGCCGATGTTATAGGTGCAGCCCTTTGCTCCGTTCGTAGCGTCCTCTTGCTCCTACTAGTAACGTTCTTGCTAGTAGCGATGCCCTTTACTCCTAGTAGCTTCTTGCTCCTAGCAACTTCCTGCAGAAGTTGTTCCTTTAAAGTTCCTGCGTTGCTGCAACTCTTCCGCCAGGCTCTTATTGCTTGGGCTGGTGGCTACCTTGGCTACGGCAACCGAAAGACTTGCCTATGCACCCCTCTGGACCAAAGAGAAGAAAAAGGTCGTTGTTCTAGGAGCTGCTTAAGCTTTGAGAATACCTGCTTTGTTGTGATCAGAATTCCAATTGAAACTGTGTGCCGATATTCCCTAGTAGATCACGGAGCAGGCTGGAGAGCAGAACGGGTGTTCTTATCAAAATTGAATGGCTTTGAAGGAGGTGGCTTTGCTGGTTTGGCGGTAGTTCGACATTTGCGTCGGAACTTCGAGGTGACATTGGTGGATGCCAAAAAGCATCTGGACTTCATCCTAGCAAAATATGTCAAGAAAGACTGTCCTTCCTTTGCATTCCGCCCTCAAGGTACTTTGAATTTATTCCTGGGATGGTGAGACCATACTCCAATCCGGATCTTCATCGCAAGCTGGTGGTCGACTATGCCAGTGTGTGCAAGAAGATGAAGGAGTGGATAGTAAATTGTTAACAGATTCGTAGCATTTTGTAGCTGCGTAGCCCGCTGCGTAGCTCGCTGCGTAGCTCATAGCTGCCGCTGCCTGATGGGGCAGGTGTCTTGGATCTGGGGAGCAGCAGAGAAGCTCCAAGGCAACGAGGTGGAAACGAGTAGCTCCAGATGATACAGATCTGAGTTCAGATCATCTGAGATGTCTGATGTGTGTTCTTGTCATAAAGACCTTGTATATATTACTTCCAGTTTCTAAGCGCCTCATTGCACTCTCTTCTTTTTTCAGGTGGTGGTCCAATTGAACTCCTCTGATCAACATCGTGTTGCCTACGAAGCTTGGAACCGTTCTTCAATCTAGCAAAGGCTTTCACAGATCCCTGAGATCTCATTTGGCCTTTCCGCGATCCCAAGCAGAACAACCCAAGCTGGATCACCGTCAAACTGCACCTCTTACAGGAACAGTCGTGAGTCGATCCAATCGTTCTTGATTGCTGAGAGCGTTAGAGGAAAGAGAGAGAGAGAGAGGAAGAGTCGATGCGAAGAGCTTGGAGATAGAGCGAAGAGCGTGTATATAGATTTCAGAAGATTTCCCTTTTTCCCCGGCTTTAGGACTATTGTGTCGTGGCAACTGGCTGTGACTTCGGTAGCTTGTGGGCTGTCTCACCCACCTCGGGCACCAGGCTGGAGACCCAGGCGTGAGCAACCAGAAGTTGCACATTTTGATTGTCAGGCCAATCGACCGAAGATACTTAGAAGGGAGGCAGAAGGAGATTGAGAAGGACGCTGACAGACAGGTCGCCGATCAGACCATATTTCCCTTCTACAATTCGGAAAACAAAGAAACACAAAGATAGACTTTTTCGAGTCCTTCATGGCAATTTCAAAATCTGGAGGAATACGATCAATTGACTGAACTGGCGGATCGTGGGGCTCACGTGGCGGTCATTGGAGCTGGCTTTGTGGGTGCAGCTCGGTGCAGTGGAAGCTCTTTCCGAAAGAACTGTTGGAACATGTTGGAATTCTTGTTTCTTTGGTGAACGTGTTCGCCTTCCCCCCTTGGCTAAGGTGGAGTTTGCTACTGAGCTTAAGCACTACTTTCCTTATCTACAGATTAGCTTGGCCAGCCGAAGTGAATGTTGCTGTCCTACAATGCCCAAGAGTGCTAGAAGCTACATCCAGAAGTATCTAGACAAACACAATATCACGAAGCTTGGAACTCAAGGGCTAAACAATCATCGGTCAGTCTGCTCGAAATTGAGAGAAGGGGGAACCGTCTACAGTTCGGCTTTGACGTGAAAGACCGAGGACTTATTATCAAGTTGAATATCCCAACGAAGATGCTGCAGCCAACACCCTTTGGACACGCTTTGGCCGGCCCTGTCCAGAGCGCGTCTTCAAGAGCATGGGCATGAGACCGTGACTGGGAGAAAGTCAACCTAAAGCTGAAAGTGGTGGGGTAGGGTAGTTGACGGAAGCTGCTTGCTTTTTTGGAATTGGATGGCCGAATTACAGGCATTGCAGCTTTCTGCCACCTGAGTGCCTCACTGAGAAAGGCTGGGTGAAGATGACCCCGCAACTTGGCTTTGAGGGATTTGTGGGCCGTATATGGAGGGTCAACGGAGTTGTGCCACGAGTCTTGACTGATAAGAAGTTTCGGAGGACTAGCAATTTCCACGTTACTTGATGGCTTTACACGAGGGCTTTTGGAGAATATATTTTTGCTGTGCGGTCCAAGGACATTGCAGATTGCGAATGGTTCTGAGGCATCCCAACAAGACAAGCAATTTGCAAAAAGTTGTCTCCTCAAGATCTCGGAATCAAATTCTATAATAGTGCGAGCGTGAGCTATCCTGCGTCCTACCCGGAAGCGTACCTCCTTAATTAAGTAGGCGCCCCACTTAATTAATGGCGGACTTAAAAGAAACAAAAAAGGTAAAAACAGATTGAACGCAAAGATGCAATTTCTCGAACTCCAAAGCGCGAGACCAAACGCTTGAGCGCAGGCTGATCTTGGCGCTATTGATGGAAAGGTTTTTGCAATTGGAAGCTGCATCGATCAAGCGCCAAATCTGAATACATATTTTGTTTTTTGATGTTTTTTGCAATCATTTACTGTATAATTACTTCTCCCTTGCTCTCCGAGCACTACAGAATTCAACTCGTTGCGTCCATTCTCCTCGTCGCCTCATGAGGTGCCGGGGGTGGATCCTTTGCCGAAGAATTCATTCCCAGCAGAAGAGATGGCGGCGCATGTGGCCAGCTGCTTGGCGCAAAGCTGTGCAAATCAGTGGGCGCCTTCTTTGCTCTCCACAAATTGCTCGCTGGCGTGCAGCTTGTTCACTTGGTTTCACTTATCAATATCAACTTTTCAGGAAACATTCGCCGATCTGCGAGGGGCAAAAAGATGAAGCCCTTTTATTGGCCATTGCTAGCTGGAGTCTCCGCCACAAGTCTAGGACCTGTGCCAGTGAGAAAGAGAAAGCAAGTTTAGTCACTTTTGTGCAAGAACTTAGTAGGAGCAAGGACACAGGAGCATCGCTACTAGGAGCAAGAAGCTACTAGGGGCTCCTGGCCGTACTACTAGGAGCAAGAAGCTACTAGTAGGCCATTGCAGGGGCAGTTGGCCAAGATGTGGAGAGGGCTCCTCTTCCTAGACCACGATGGGCTTGGTGTCGCTTTCCAGGACCAAAGGATGGCGTTTTGCTTTTGCAGAGAAACATCTCCAGCGGGGGCATGGTGGCCCTTCGAGGAAGAGCTGTGGTGTGGGTGAAAGAGATCATTCGATGGACCAAAGTCGTGGCTTGGCTTCGCTTTGCTTCTTGCTTTCAAATTTTGTCAATATCACTTGGCTAAAAAGCCAAACCCATGAAGGCTTCGGGCCTAGGGGCCTAGGAATGCTTTTTTGGGTCCGCTTTGACAAACCTCGTTGTATTGTCACAGACCTCTGCAGGATGAGTGCAAGCTGGGAATTCTCGGAACGCTTTTTTGGCACTTTGTACACTGAATCTGGAGTTGAAGTTTTTGGTGGACCGAATCACGACTTCGTCCCGACTTTGTCCCCTGTTTGACGCAGAACCATCTGGGAGAGAGAGGATTTTCGAGGACTTGCAGCTACGAGCCTTGATGAATCTTATGAATCTTGATGCCACGAGCAGGCGCACAACAGCAGAGCAAGCCAAGCAAAGTTGGCTCACGATGCTACGCTCTGGAGACAGCAAAGCAAAACATAGTGCTTTCTGGGTTTTGCTTTGCCAAATGGTGATCCAGGGGTGCACCTTTCCCAGGCTAACTTGGTGACAATCCAGGCCGTCCATGGCCATCGGCAGTTCCCAACAAGAACACACTTTTATGCCTATTTCTTGAGATACCCTGACAGGTTGTGTATGTTGTCTTTGTTCATCCCCGCTTGAGTCAACATCTGTTTGTTGTGGGTGTTCTTGTGTTTGCTTGCTTAATTAATGCAATTTTTGAGGCCCAAGCTAGGATTTCACGGATTCTTGCAAACGTTCTGATCAGTGCTGGTCAGCCAACAAGAGCCTAGTCATGTCTGCGAAGCGCCGCCTGCAAGAACTCTTTGAGAAGTACGACACATCGGGTGATGGTGTCCTTTCCGAAGACGAAATGCTCAAGTTGTTTGAGCGCCTGGGTGTTCCTAGAAAGAGTGCGGAGGAACTCTTCAAAGAGGCTGATGCAAACAAGGATGGAACAATCCAAGTGCATGAGTCCCTGGGATTATTCTTTTGGAAGCATGTTTTATTTTCCACTAGGACTGAGTAATAAGAAGTTACTAGGGGCTCCTGGCCTTACTACTAGGAACAAGAAGCTATTAGTAGATTCATTTTTCCTTTTTCGCACAAAGGTTCATTGCCTGGATCACAGCCAACAAACCGGCCTTCAATCCCCTTGCCACCTTGGGCGAAGATGGGACAGGAGACATCCAGTTCGCCTTCTCGAATCCTACCAAGCACTCCATGAAGTACACCTTCAAATTCTTGATGTGTGAAAATGTGGAGTGCATTTATGGCAATCCCGTGCAGGTAGTTCTTGAACCAGGCAAGCGAATTTTCAAGCCCATGCTGAGAGTCACCAAATCACCTTTCAGCTGCTTGACTGGAAGTGAGTTGCAGCGTTGATTTCTCATACCCAGCATACTCCACAAAGAAAGAACCTGCTGACAGTCACGAAAGGTTGTCGCGAGCGGTTTTTGGGATTGTGCTGGGGTTGAGATGTTGGTCGGGCAAGATTTTGCGAGCGGCCTTATTTTGTGTCACCTTGGGCGTTCGAGAGACTCGTGAAAGGCCAGACAAGGAGATTTGTATAGATAGATAGAGAAGGAAATGGGAAAGGGGGTGGGATGAAAATGAAGAGACGGACGTAGGAAAGCTCCAGCACTCAAAGTTCACCAGCAAGAGTAGGAAGACTTTGAGGCCCCTGGGCTACGCCCTCGGGCTCTCGACCGGCGCATTCACACCGAAGGTCCATGTGGCGAGTGCACTTGCTTGCGCTCGTGAGGATTTCCCGAAGTCCTAGCTGAGATGGATGGGACTTCAGTATCCCCCAACGTTTGCGAAAGCCTGCCGGTAGGCCCGGTAGGCTGAAGTTAGTTTCTGCGAACGAAGTGAGTCTGGAGGGCAGATGCGGATCCGAGGGCCTAAATCATAGTATATAGCCTATGTTGGTACGTTGGTGATGAAGACACAAGATTGTTGTGGCATCACTTGCATCAAGCTTCTCTATGCTTTTGTTAATTTGTATACCAAATGGCGGGGTTTCATGAAGATTCTACGTTACCTGAGGCTTGAGCGTTGCTGCGAACGAAGGCGCATTTGTTTTCACAAGGTGTATCCAAAAAAACCAGTGGAACAGCGATTCACTGTCGGTGTTCTTTCCCTTGTTGGTTTCATTCGGGTTCATCAGGATGATCAACTTGCTTGACTGGTTGTTTCTGGAGAACCACTTGCCAGACGTCCCTCCTCGGTTTCGATTCCCCCCGGATCCCTCTGCCGAGAAAATTGAAGTTGTACGAAGGACAACAGTGGCAACAAACCACAACACTACAAAAGGATGTCGTTTGTAGCAAAAGCCATAAAACACATGTTTGCATATGCGCAGTTGTGGCAAGGCGTGAGTGGGCATGGCAGACCAGAAGTAGTGCAGAGACAGAGAGAGAGAGAGAGAGAAAGAAGCGATTGGAATATCAATAGTGAATCGATTGGGTGGAGTTCTATGTTCTTGCACACCGACTCAGTTGCCGAGTGGTGTAGGGTGTGGTCAAAGGCCTCAGCCGGACACTCCGTCGATGAACGATTTGCAAGCCTCCTACTGAAGCTTAATGGCGTTTTTGCGTTTAGGTGGGGCCATTTCCATTGGGTTGGTGATATGGAAACTGCAAGTTTTAGCCTGGCGGCATCATTTGCAACACCAAGATGCTGCATGCTGGTGTCTACTGGCTTTCGTTTCCCCCTTCTCAGGTTTCTTTCCCACCAAGTTGCACATTCATGCGTGGCTGACCATGCGTGTTTCAGAGCTGGGTTGTCGGAAGACCAGGATTTCAGCATAAACAGGGGCAGGTGTTCTTTCCAAAGTGCCAGTGATTCATTTTTTCACATGTTTTAGTTGTAGTTTTCGATTTTGGAGTCACAGCCGAGGTTACGAAGTGGCACCTGTGTGCTGTCGAGCAGACGTGAACAACGGCGAGGATGATCTGAGCAAAGCCTTCATCGATCCAGATTTCCCACATGATGAGAGGAGCACCAAGAATTCCAGGTGACGAGCAGTACGCAAAAGAGTTTGGGGCCTTTGTTCAAACGAGGTTAAAGGGGTTCAAGATTGCTTCAAACAAAACAGAAGATGACAAGGCGGTGAGGTTGGCTTTTGGGAATTCCTAGCAGCCAATAGGTCTACTCAGTGAAGGTGACAGGTGCATGGACCTTCCAATCACTTGGATTCGCTTTGCGCCACAGGTTTCCTGAGTTGGACATGGGCAAGCCAGACCGATGGGTGCGGGCTCGGATGTTGGGCAATTCCAGCGAAGCGGTCCTTTTTGATGAAGTTCGACCACAAGATGTGAAACAAGGACATGTCGGAGATTGCTATTTGTTGGCTTCCTTGAGTGCTTTAGCCCAGCAACCTCAACGTCTCAAGAACTTGTTCAGTGAGAAGCACTTGACGGAGGACGGGAAGTACACCGTGAAGCTTTTTCACATGGATAAGAAGGAGTGGGTAAAGGTTGTCATCGATGAGTTCGTCCCATGTCGGAGCGCCGACGGGATTTTACGTCCTTGCTGCGCACAACCCTTGGGTGAAGAGATTTGGGTTCCGTTGCTGGAAAAGGCCATTGCCAAGTTCTGCGGAAATTATGGTGAGATCTACGGCGGAATGGAAAGCTGGGTTTTCAAACTCTTGACTGGAGAAACCCCTGAGATCTTACAGAAGACGAAGAATGGTTGGATCAGTTACTATTCTAGGAATATGAAAGCCAGAGAGCCCCAAGAAGGGCGGCCACGAAAGAATCGAGACAGAAAACCCATGGACTCGGAACAGCTTTTCCAATTTATCTCAGGCGCTCTTGCTGACAAGCACATTGTGTCCTGCAGTGTGAACTTCCTGGACGACAAGCCCATCAGCACCCCAGAAATGAATTCACAAGTCCGGCTCCAGTATGGAGTGGAGGCAAACCACGCTTACTCGTTGTTGAAATGCTTTGAGGAGAAGATGGACAATGGCCAGCCTATACGGCTGGTCCAGATTCGAAATCCTTGGGGCTTTGGAGAGTGGAAAGGTGATTGGGCAGACTACAGCAAAGAAAACAAGCTTCCTGATTGCTGGGAGAAGAATCTGGAGCTCAAGGCTCGTTTGAAGGTCCGTCATCAGAACGACGGCCTCTTTTACATGTCCTTCGAGGATTGGGAGAACCTGTACACCGGTTGTCAATTGTGCCCTGTGGGTACAAAGCCGATGCCGAGTGACGAAGACTTAGAAGAAGATCTCGGCGAAGAAGAGTCTAAGGGGTTCTTCTCCAGCATGTTTGGGAGCTTCTGGTAAGTGCTGTGGATAGCGATCAAAGACATTGCTGATTCAATTGTAAGAGAGCCTCAAGGGCGCTCGCCAACAGTCTCACCTGCTGATGGAGGAAGCTCCCTTAATATTTCAGAATAGGAAAACATCAGCCACAGTCCTGCTTATGAAGTGCTTGTTGCCTGCTTTTCAATTTTTTGCGTATCATTTGCAACCTCTGTTGGCAAAAGCTCTCGCCAGCGCCCTGATGAAAGTGGACCAAAGTCCACGCGGGTGATGGCGACAGAGCAGAAATGAGGACAACAAAAAAGCAAGTGACCAAAGACATGGCTTTTCTTTGTTTCTAATAGCTATGGCCGCCTATGGCCTCCAAGTTACTAGCGATGGCCTCCCCTAAGAGCGATGGATTCCAACCTAGGCTTTGCCTAGAATTTTCTAGCCACAGGGCTATGGAAGGCCTGTGTGACCATGTAAAACATTGCGACATTGAAACGTACAAGGTTGGATCAGAGCTTGTCGGATGGCTCTCGGAAGAGGTGCCGAACAGAAACGGGGAAGAGGATCGAAGAGGGCTTGTTCTAGGGCTTCATGGCTTTCGACGTGCAACTGGAAGCGCAACTTTTTGTGCTTTTGTATTTGTAAAGCGTAAGAAATACAGTAACACTTTGGTCCAAAGCTGCAAGGCTCTAGCTGATGATCTAAGTCTACGGTTTGTTAATGTTTGTTAGTTGTAAAGGCTTCAATCCGTGGTAGGTGCTTCGACGTGCCAGCTTTGGTACGGGATCCTGACTGCCAAATGGTTGTGGGAGGGAGGTCTGGCTGAGCTCTGTTTGCAGTGGGGCATACTTGTAGCATTTTTTCTACAAAAAAGCTATTGCCTTTGACGTTTGACACTGGAAGATTCCACAGTTTGCTCTTCAGGGGTATTTTAGTCAGCCTTAGTTGTTTCTGAGGCAAATGGGACTGGGTTGCAGAGACCCTTGATGTCGGGGCCTCGGATATCTTCCACATGCTTTCACCAGAGGCGGTTTGAGAGGCTTGTGGTCCTTCATGTTTTCATCTCGTTTGCCTGTTTTTACATCGTTGGCTTGCAGACTTGCACTGTCGTGGTCATTTGGTGTGCAATTGTAAACAGCTTTTCGCATCAAACGGCAAATGGCAAATCGGTTGACGGTTCCAAGTCTCCATCAGCTCATCAGCTCCTTGAGGCGATGGGCCCCTCTGAAGTCCTGGACGTGGGCGAAGGCTGCTGCGATACAGCGGGCCGCAGCATTTTGGCCTCTTGGCTCTGACGGCATCGGCAAAGGGACGTAGCAAGGGACGTAGGAGCGCAGGAGCAAAAGCCTTCTATTCAAAGATGATCAGAGATAGTTTGGAGAGCGGGCTGATGAGTGGGATGTTCAATGTGGCATTCCACAATCAATGACTTCCGAACCCCAACAGTTTTGTTGGCAAAATGGAACCCATTTTGCTTCCCTCTTCTCTAGAGATAAATGTTGGATGTCAAAACCACATGAAATTGAATGTCACGAACCCTTCAAATGACTTCAATCGCTTCCATCATAGCACTGACTTTCTTCCTCCTCTTGAGGAGTACGCGGCCATGAGCGTCGTTGCGGAGCCAAAAGCTTTCAAGGTGCAGATCAACCTGTTGAAAGATGTTTCAAGATGTTCTCTTTGGGTTTCAACTCAAAAGAACTGAGGGTTTCATTCCATCTTACAAGTGAGTACACAGTACTTCTGTTCTGGGGTCCGTTTGAGAAGAGCCCAAGCGGGTTTTCCCAGAGCCATGTCACGAAACCCTTTCGTGATGTAGATTTAGACGTCTTTAGTGTTGACAAGGACCTCCACTGTCAGGTACTCCAGAGACTGCTGGATGTGGGCATCTCCTTCAGGGCAGACCAGGCTTTTCCAGAGCATTTTCCAAAATTCACATCGACCATCGTGCACCGTGCTGGCCCTTTGGTCCTTCTTCCCTTGCGAGGAAGGGCTCACGGCGCTTCACTATGCTGCGTTTGTAGGGTCAGAAGAAGCCGCCACTGCCTTGGAGGAACGAAGTGACATGTTTTTTCAAAGACCGCCCAAAAACAAAACATAGGAAGGGAAGATACGGAAGGACTTTCCATCCAAGTGAAAGTTTTGTGCTCTTGGCAAGGATTTCGTAGCTTTCTGATTTGTCTGATTTGTCTTCTTGCATTTGCCCAAACCCAGCACTTGCTACAAGTTTTGTGATGTGTTGAGGTTGGATCTCTCTTAGCTGCACGAGCTTCAGTCGATGCATTGGCTCAGAAAGGCGTTTGTGGGGAGTACTTTCAGAGGTTTTCAACCGTTTTCATCGTTTGTTCATTGTTGGCACGAAGGCACTTGACATGACATGGTAGGCTGTAAGAAACAGCAGCAAACCCTATGTGTTCCTGTTGAGCTTCCACTGCATGTTTGTTAAGCTGGCGGCACACCTAGTCGTGCTTGCGTTTTAGAAGTCTACACAGCTGAAGTCATTGGTTTTCAGTAAAAGGGACGTGGCAAGCGAACTAAAAGCAGTTTTGATGACGCCTCACCAATAGGACTTAATCCTTGAGCATCATCGCGAAAGAATATGTGTGGCATTTTGTTGCAGCCCTCAGGGGTCACTCCCTTGATGCTTGCGGCGTGCTTATCTTAGACACCCAGACCCACAGCACAACAGCCGAAGCATGGCTGAAGCTGTGACATCAAAGGAACACGTCGCATTCTTATGACATTCCATTTTGGATCGATTGGTTGAAGCTAGAATCGACCCAGAGAGCAAAGACCACACATGTCAGCTAAGTTTCTTACAATACCACTCGCTTTGCAGCAGCATACGACCGGCCAGACCATCGTGGATTTGATTACTGCTCAATACGTTTTGAAACATCCATGACATGAAAAGAAACTCAGTCAATCCCGACCATTTCCTTTCTTTCCAGCCTTGGTATCAGCTTGAGGCTTACTGGGAGTTTATGCTGCTCTCGTCGCCTTTTGTCGTGTGGCGCAGATGCTTCCATCACAGATGATTATGGTTGGGCAGCCTGTTCCATGAACCGCCATTCTATTTCACGCACTGTGATTCCAAGTCACTGCACAATTGCTCAAACAATGTGCTCGAAGCTGTGACAAAGACTCCTTGTCTCTGATTGACCACTTGTGGGAACGCTGAGACAGGTTGCAAAAACTCTGAGGTCAAACAGCAGCCATGTGGGTCTGTCGGAACCTTTGGGAACCGGAACGGAGAGCTTGCCGTGGAGAGCTTCGCAGCACTTGACCGCCCAGGCCTTGGTTGTGGAGAACCTCCATCTCGCAGCGGCCAGGAGCCCTAGAAGAGCCCCAGAAGATCCGAAGAGATGCTCCAAGCAGCAAGGCATAAAGATGAAAAAGGTAAGGGCCTGGGCCCCCCTTAATGAGGGCTTTTGTTTAAGGGGCCCTTGGCTTCCTTTTTAAAAATCATAATTCTTTCAAGCAACGCTTAGCTGCTTAGCTAAGCTCCAAGCGAAGCTCCAACCAGTGCAGCGAAACGCTGAGGTCGCCAAAGGCTGCTGAATAATGGGTCAAGGACTCAACAAGACTCTGCTGAATCTTACTTTTTGGGGCTTGTGATGAACACCATGAACACAAGTGTCCTTGGCTAGTTGAAAGGCGCCAACATGACTTCAAAGTCGTAGTGCGGTTTAGGCTACACAGGTTGGAGGATGGCTTCATGCCCTGTAGCTGCGCACAGATGCTGTGAATCATGAAGACAACCCAGAGTGAAGGGAAGCCCTTCTTGCTCCGGTCATCGGGTTCAAGCAGCGCCAGACCTTTGTATCCGGGACAGGCAAATTGCCGTTTTGCACAACACCACATGCTTTTTGGGTGTCTTTGTTTCCACACCTCAAATCCTGGTTCGCTTAGGCCAGAAGAGTTCAAAGCAATGATGGGGATTAGCCTGGGGCTTGAGTTCCTACCTGTCAAAATGTGGGCAAGAATCAGAAGGTTTCAAGCTTTGTGTTTCAAGCTTGGTTGGAGGCCATCGCTAGTAGGTTGGAGGCCATCGCTAGTAGGTTGGAGGCATCGCTAGCAGGTTGGAGGCCATCGCTATAGTAGGTTGGAGGCCACCGCTAGTAGGTTGGAGGCCATCACTAGTAGGTTGGAGGCCATCGCTAGTAGGTTGGAGGCCATCGCTATAGTAGGTTGGAGGCCATCGCTAGTAGGTTGGAGGCCATCGCTAGTAGGTTGGAGGCCATCACTAGTAGGTTGGAGGCCATCGATTGCTGTTCTTGATCTTGCCCAGGCAATGGCTTGCACGAGGCCTTGGACCGCAGACGATCGTTTGGCTGCCCAGATCTCAATTCGTGTTTAAAAGATTCTATTTCGTTTCAGCTGTTCTCAGCTGCTTTAGCTAATTGTTTCGTTCTTGAGAATGACATGGTTTCTCTCCATGCCAATCTTGCAAAACCATCAAAGCCAACATTTGACATGTGTGCTTTGGTTTGTCTGAGGAGAGGTGTGGCAGAGCCATGGGGTGGACCTGACCGGCGTGAGCTTCTGGGTGAGTTGGCGGCTTGTCTCATATCCGGAGCCCACATTGTGGCTGGCATGTGACAAACATGGTGAAGACTAGTGAAACTCCTTAGATTAGATTAGATTAATCTTTCACATTTCAAAACATCAGTCCCGTGCAAAGCAAGTGTGGATTGGGTCTTGAGCCTGTTTTGATATGATGAAACATGATGACACAGGTGGATCGCCTTTGCGGCTGCTTCGAAGCAGCTTCTCCTCGATCCCCACGCGGGTCTCCAACGCGGCAAGCGGTGACCGAACGATGGCTGTTGGGAGCTTAAGGACACACTGTGAGCCCATTGGGCAGCTGTTGTATTGCTATTTCCATAGATGAGATCGACATTTTCATGTTATTCTTGTCCTCGCAGTGGTTGGGTACTATGCTATTTTTTCTGCTTTGATTTTGTTGGACTGTCTTGCCAAGGCCTCTCTTAAGAGAGGCTTCCAAGCCTGGCCCCGTGCGCCTCAAGCCCAGGGACCATTCTGGAAATGCGTTCTCGCCTGGAGGAGTGTCACCTTTTGTTTCGTGAAGCTGCACTGTACTGGTTCCGATATAGTCCTTTTCTTTGTCCAAGGTTGCGGATGCTTTGCAGAAGTGTATGCAAGGCTGCGAAGAAGTCAAGGCCAGCTGCCTTGCAGAGTTGGACTGCGCTCGGGAGAACGGAATCTCGACGCAAAGCCTAAATGGCAACAGGATTAGTAACAAAGGGCATCGCTGCTAGGAGCAAGGACGCTACTAGGGGCTCCTAGCCTTACTACTAGGAGAAAGGACGCTCCTAGGGGCTCCTGGCCTTGC